TAGTAGCTAAAAAGAAATTACAATAAAGTGTAAAGAAACAAATTATCATATGTTTTTTCAGCTGATCCAACAACAACGGATATTTTATGGAAGTTATGTTAAATGATTCTTGTGAGTTCTCCTACAACAGTTTGGCTACACAGTACGTGTTACTAACCCTAACCCTGTATGATCAGTTGGTTAAGTTTTGGTAAAATTATGTATATGACATGCAGTTCATTTGGAGGGGCCCTTTTATGCTTTTTAGGGGTTCTCTTTCCTGTAGTGTGTTATCCAGGTTTTTGAGCATTTAAATAGTCTGCAAAGGCTATAATTCCAAAGTCCCCTCAGAGGGAGTTTCCCTCCCACACACTCCCCTCTTGCCTGAAACACCTCCATTGTAGTCCTTTGTTTTATTTCGCAACAGTGTGACATCACAACGTAACACTCGCGATTCTATTGGCTAGCGCTCCAACACATTGTATCTGTAATGCCAAGGGGCGGGACATCTCTAAGCAGTTTACCAATCAGAGCAGACTGGGCTCTGGTTTCAGACAGAGGGTGAAAAGAGGAGCTGCAGCACAGGCAGTATGAGAAAATAAAACACTTTTTGAACATTAAAGCAGGGAAACATGCAGCAGTATAGGCACAAATTATGAACCTGAACATTTGCTTAATAGGACCCTTTAATTAAATCAATGTTTACTTTTGGTATTGAATGGGACACAGCTTAAATTATGACTCATGCATTTATCATACACAACTATGTATACTACATCACCAGTTTTCCTTAGAGGCAGCCCTGCTTGTCCTAGCTTCCAATTACATGTGCTATAAACAAATGATAGGGAATCACTTTGTTGTAGGAATTAGTACAAACGGTGAATGAGAACAGTCTTATTACTTGAATACTGGCTTTAATGTGTGACTCTACAGAGCAACTAAATGGCTTCTCAGTTTCTAATCAATGGAGCCAAAATGTTCTATCAAAGTCAGAAGCAGTAAAACCAAGCAATTACATATTTCAGATGAAAGTGGTAGGGTTTTTCAGCCCAAAACAAATTTCTGCAAACAGTTACATTTATTTGAAATATCAGAAAAATCAATATCTCTCGCAGGGTGTGTGTGAGTGGGATTTTGCATGTGTGTGTGTATTTAGTTTTCCACTGCGCACTATTTTGAAGTCAGCTGCAAAATGAAAATGAAATACCTTGTTAGGATTTCGTTACTGGCAAACCTTACTACAGTATGACTGAATCGCTTGTTCGATGACATCTTGATGAACCAGCCAGAAGTACAGAAAAAGGAAAGCAATTTTGAAAACAAGTCTACAAAAAATGCAATATAAAAATCACAGCAATTGAACAGCCTGCTAAACTAAACACAGTTTGTCATGAAGGATTTATAGCTTGGCTGCTGGTTTAAAATGTGTTTAATGTGGGATCTTTCTGTTGTCCTAATTAGAACTGAATGACCATCAGGCCTCTGTAGCAGGTTGTGTTGCGCAGCACGACAGAGGGCTGAAAATCTGGCCGCTACAATTTCATCCATAGTTGAAGCTTAATTAAGGTCAGCCAGAAAGCCTGTAAAAACCTGTTGGTGTTTCTGGAGCCTGGCTAAACTGGTTGGCTAATCTTGTTTTTGGGACCATTAACACATATCCAGAAGATACTTTATTCTGTCTTTTAGTTCAATGAGCATACTTCTAGTGTGTCTTTCTGCTCTTTGTTCCTCATGTAAATGCATTTTACATGAGTGCCTGTGGCTTCAGTAAAAATGTGATGCAGAGGCAGAGTTACATCAGACAAGCAGTGTGTCTGCACGAGGACTACTGTGGAGCCTCCTGCTCCGAGTCTCGTCTGGCAGCGCTGTGTTGTGCTGGGCAGGGCCGGGCTTGGCGCTGTGCGCGGGGGGACAGATGGTGTTACATGTGATCTTGTTGGAGGTCCAGAACCGTAGCCCAGCAGGGACCCTGGCAGCTGACGAGCCTGGCCCGGGCCCCTGGGCTCCCAACAGGGCCGGCAACAGGACGGGGCCACCCAGGTGTCAAACCAGACAGACAGACAGACGCCCGCTCCCTCTATCCACCACCACAGCCAGCTGTTTCACCTCTGTTGCTGCTGCACATCAGGAGAGCATTACACAACAGGCCTGAAATCATGTTCAAACAGAACATAATAAAACCGCAATAATTCTCAGCCATTCACATAATAGCAGCATGTAACAGATACTGTTAAATGAAATATTGCAGCAGACAGCTTCAGCTCAGAAAATGGTGTGTGTGTGTGGGTGGTTCTACCAAATATGCTTTTTAATTGCGTCCACAATTTTGCGTGCCAGCTTTTTAGACAGGACAGGTTTGACGAGCTCATAGCCAAAATGCATGGTTTTGTAGCTGCTTGTGTTATTCACAATGTCCTTGTTGTTGGCAATGCTCTAATCCCGACCAACTCTGTGAGACAGCCGCATGGCTTACCAGGAAATGCATCAAGTCATCATAGATCAAGTCACACTGTCATGGATGGCATTGAAGAAGTAACAAGGGCAAGCGATCGAGTGCCTGGATGCCATGGCAGCAGCTGAAAAATGCATTTATTTTAGCCAAGCTCCGCGACTTTGGGCTGGCTGCGTCTGATGCACTCCGCGGTTAGTCAGCACTCCTGCCGCTCTGCCAGCTCAGCTTTTATTCCGTGCCCTGAAAATTGAGTTTTGCTGGGCCTGTAATGTACTCAAAACTACATCTGCGACTGACTGATAAATCTACTCTTTGTCGCGCCTGAGGGATGGCTGTGAAAGTGAATATTCACCATGCCATGTGCCGTGTTGAGAGGAAGGCCACTTTAGATTTGCTCTAGCTCACCAAGGAACCTCTGCTCAGGGTGAAGTCAAAAATACCATTCTGTCTCAGATTGGGTATTTTCTTAAGCTTTCTTTGTTCAGTAACATGACAGATTCCTGGAGTGTTTGTTCCACTGCGTTGTCTCCTGCTACCTCACTGTGAGGGGAAGAAAACACTGCTCCTGTTGCAAAGTGTCAACAATATCTATTATTTGCTGAGAGAATGGCTTTATGTCCACAGAGCGGTAATTGTGTATATGTTGTGTATAAAGGTGTCTCGATAAATACCACATGAAGACAGATCTTTATTGCAGAGCAGCAGTCGGGGTATGACACTCCGAAGACCAATTTCAGACTGTTAACAAGGCTTGGACCAGAAATACCTCTCAGCAAAAATGTCATATAGGCTAGGCTACCTCCCTTTCTACACCTCCCTACTTCTCCCTCTCAGCTCTCCTGTGGACTTCCTGGAACAAATTGTAGTTCCTCTCTTTCAATTTTCCGACCGTGTTGCGTGGTTCCACAATGTGCTGCCCCTGGGGGAATCACGGGGAGGCAGGAGCAGCGGCCCGGGCCAGGGCCGCAGAGAGCTGATAACCTTTCAGTGTTGCTTTAGCACACTGTAAAGAACAATCAGAGCTTATCAGCATCGACTACAGGCGAATGCTAATTCAATGTCATGCAGACAGACTGCAGACTCTGCAGAGGGAGAAAGAGCAGCTCTGGCATTCACTCTGCCACCCGGATTCCTCCAGCAGACACAAGTTTTAGTAATCTGCAGATTGTTGGCTTTTTATTGCCTTTCAAATCTGTGATCTACCTTTCTAATCTACATATAGAACTATAAATGAATCATGCCATAATAATTTGCACACTAGAATCAACAGAATACAGGATTAAAGACTGTTATTTTTGTTTGATTTGACAGCAACAAATTATTAGGAATACACTTTTAAAAAACTCCTTTTATTTTGGCGGAGATGTTGACACCTGCCGGGCTCTGTACATGTTCATATCTAAATCTTAAAATTCAAACATTGGTAATTGAATATTTTCGGTAATTGTCACATGGGTGTAGTTTATTGTATTTCGGGCTCCTGTTGTGTATCGTGGGTTTTGGAAGGACAATGAAACTTAACTTTAGTACAGACTTTTATTATTGATACTCGTAACACCTATAGCCATGTGTAATCTCTTCTTGAGTTCAGTCACTATATCGCCATTAATGGTGAGTTAACTTTAACATCTCCATTTTGCATCCAATGAAGGAGTTTTGATTCTTTCTCATTTCCTCTTCTCCTTACTGACCCTGACATTTACTCTTCTTAAAAAGTACGTAATTTATATCTATATAATAAATGTTTTTATTTAATCCAATACTTTTGTAAATGTATAATTCATATAACATTGGAAATAGAAATACATGATCATTAGCAAAAAAATGAACATTTCATGCAATCGTCTGTACAAATTCATTGCAATAACAATAACAGAAAAACTGAAAAGAAAAAAACTTTTAAAACCCATTCCTTGTAAGGTGTCTCTGACTTTTACAGCCGTTGTTGCTAACCAACAATGGACCTGCACCTTTGCTATTCCTGCTATGTAACTCTATTGACCTTACAAGCTTCAAGAGGAGAGATGCTCAGGATTCGTTTGACTTACTGCACAATATAAGTGGCCTTGATGGTGAAAGGCAGCATCCAACGACTCGAAAACCATGCAGGTAAACTATTTGGTGGAGCATGGCGAACAAATGTTCTTTGCTGCTTAATGAAATAAAATCAAGCATTATCATGTCAAATGCTTCATCTTACTTTTAACCTAAAACCTTTTACATAGAATCACCTGAACTGAAAATGGAAGTAAAATGTCAAGAACAAAAAAACACGATCTTTCTGTGCAGCTGCAGTGAAACTAGCATTATGAGAGAGTAATTTATGGACTGCCAGCTGGTCTGTAAAGGTTACAACTACAGGCAATGCCGACACAGTGGTTAAACAAGAGCCTAATTAAAAGTCTACAGGCTTGTAGATCCCAACATATGAAGATGCTTTTCTGTCTGGTGAGTATAACATGGACAGTTTTGTTGTATGTGCCAGAAAATGTTGACATTTGGAAGTCTTTCTCTGGATCTGTGAATCTGTCGGTCTAATTTGCCCTCTTGTCTCTCGCCCTCTCAGCGCGGATCGTGCGGAGCCGTCAGTGGTGTGAGATGGCCCCCTGCCTGGAGGGGGAGGTCTGCAGCCTCCTGTTCAACCGCTCCGGCTGGACCTGCACCAGAGGCAGCGGGCGCATCAAGACTGTCACGGTAATGTACAAGACATGACATTAATATAGGCCATATGCACTTAACAGCATCATGTCGGCGGTTCAGCACGGGTAACCCCCCCCCCCCCTGTAAGCTGAGTGAGTGTGAAGCAAAGGCTAGAGGCAGAAGGTTTCAAGGACCGCCTCAATACTGGATCTCAAAGTGTACAAATGTCTCCCACAAATTAACCGTACGACATCCCATTGGTTCAAACTAAGGGCAACCAAACTTCTGGGTATAACTTCCTCAGTACTACAAAGTGTTATGAAAATACGCTTTAATAGGTTTAACCAACCATTTACTGTTTTTGCTCTGCAGAAAAGCTGCTAAGGAGCTCTGCGCTACCAATATATGGTTGACAAAATCCATACCAAACCATTCTGGTTTCCAAACTTCAACTTCGTTTTTAGCTTCTATATCATGTAATATCAGTGCTGGAATTGGGCCGGTACTCACCGGTACGCAGTACCGGCACTTCTGGTTCTGACCCATGGAGTACCGGCACTTCTTGCTCAGTACCGGCATGCTGGCGGTACTCCGGTACTCATGCACCGTGCCAGTACTCAACACTCTCCCGCCGTTCTTATTATACATCCATATATATATATACAGCCGCCCGGTACTCAGTAGATGGGTCATGAGGTGCCGAACGGACATTCTCATCGCTCTAACCGCTGGAGTTTCACAGCGGCTGTCAGCTGTTTACTCCTGTCATTCAAACAGAACGTGCTGGAGAGGGGGCGGGGCTTATCTTCTCCATGTAAATACTGTGGTGGAAACGACTATGTCAAAATTAACCTATTTGACCGTGATTTAATAGTAATACACGTTTCAAAATAATAATAATAATAATAATGCCGAAGTAACAACATACTGAAAACTGTTAGTAAAACCATGTTTAATGCTTTACAATTTACATACCTAGATGCACGTGTGTTGTGTTTATGCAGTGCAACTCCCACCCAGTGGGTGGCTATGTAGAGTGATAGAACAGAGCAGGCACGCCCCCGAGAGAAGGAAAGCAAGTCACGTCACAAATTAGCATTTCTAAATGTTAGCGTGGATTAATAAAAGTGCAAAAAGACAGCGGTTGTCGCCGGAAGAAACTTCAAATACAGAGAATGCTGTGCCTGTGTTGGAAATTGTGTCTGATGGGGAGCTTTCTTTGGTTGATCCTCCTGCTTCAAGTTCTAGTGCATTAGCATTAGCACTAGCTCCGCCGCCTCCTCCAGAGCCTCTAACGTTAGCTGCTGCTGGCGCAACTGCCACCACCAACACCGGGCAAAGCGATGCACCTGACTGCTGGACAACGGACCAGGTGCAATATTTTTGCAAGACCAATGCATGGCTCCTTCTTAAAGATAAGAAGCTAGGATGTCGGATATGCAGAGATGTCAAATCTTTGGGAATACACACTGGACAAGGACTGAAACTGTCAACTGAATGGGGTGAGTGTGCAGTGTCTCATTTTGGTGTTGACAAGGGCAAACAACAAGCTAGCCTGAGAAAGAAAATCAAAGAACATAAAGAATCACAAGCCCATGTAAAAGCTGCTGACATCCTTACATCTGCTTCATGTGAAACTATTCAACATCAAGTGCAGTCTATGCATAAATCTGAATTAGACACCACTATCAGAGTTTTTCGAACGGCATATAAAATTGGCAAACATAGCCGGCCATTCACAGACATGCCAATTGATTTGAATGTACAGAAACTGAATGGGCTGAACGTGGGCAGGGTTTTGCACTCCAATAAAACCTGTGGCGAAATCATCGACCACATAGCTCATGAGCTGAAGAAAAAAATGGCAAAAGACATTACAGAAAACCAAAGAAAACTCTGTGTTTTGGTCGATGAATCTACCACTATTAGTGGTAAAACGGTGCTTGTTGTGTGTCTACGCTCAGCATTAGCTGATGCTGAGCCCGAAACGTTTTTTTGGGAGCTGATCGAGTTGGATGGAACAACGGCTGATGACATCACAAAGGCGTTAATGGAGTGTCTTGGAAGAGATTTTAACGAGGACTTTTTAGGTCAGTGTTTCGTTTCTTTTGCATGTGATGGGGCTTCAGTCATGCTAGGGAAGAGAACAGGCGTTGCTACCCAGTTGTGTAGTAAATTCCCAAGCCTGTTTGTGTGGCACTGCTCCAATCATCGTCTAGAGCTGGCAGTTGGGGATGTGGTCAAGGAGGTCTCAGGGCTCAATCATTTCCAGATCTTTTTTGACAAACTCTATTCCTTGTTCCATGCCTCCCCCAAAAATCAGAGGCAGTTAGCGCAGTGTGCGCAAGCAGTCGGACAGCGTCTCCTGGTGATAGGGCGTGTTTTGTCCATCCGCTGGGTGGCTTCAAGTGAAAGGAGCGTCAGAGCAGTCTGGGAAAACTACCGAGTGCTTCATGATCACTTCACAAATGCTGCAAACGACACAAGCAGGGATTCCAGAGACAGAGCAAAGTACAAGGGCCTGGATGATGTGCTCACATCTGCAACGTTTGTCAGCAATCTGGGACTGATGTACGATGCGCTCACAGAGCTCAGCGACCTCTCTCGGCAACTCCAAAAAAGAGAGATGACACTGCCTACAGCAGATAGGCTCTTAACTCGAGAAATACGAGTTTTTGAATCCATGGTCACCATGCCTGGCCCACACATGACTACAGTTCATACAGCTCTAGCTGAGAAGTCCTTCAAGGGTGTTGCCCTGCGTGAGAATGGCAGGCTTGTACAGATTCATGCAGGTCAGTTTTTCCGCAGTATGGTAGAGAATCTGAGACACAGAATGACTTCCACAACCTCCTCTCATGTCAGCACAAGAGAAATCCCATTACATGGCCGGGAGGCCCGGGACAATCAGCTAATCCAGGACATGAAAGTTATCCATCCTGGAAGTTGGCCTGAAGAGGAGTTAGACGTACAGTATGGGGACGTAGAGGTGCTACGTTTGTGCGAAGTGCTGAAAGTGGACAGAAGAGAGACTGTTCAGGGCTTTCGCGAATACAAGGAAACCAGGGCATCCCGTACACCTGCTGCCATGGAGCCTCAACTGAAAGCAGTCCGAACCATCGCTGTCTCCACTAGTGAGTGTGAGCGGGCATTCAGCTGCATGAACGATATCCTTACTGCAAAAAGGAATGCTCTCTCTGTCAGCCGACTGTCCAGCCTGGTTTTCATTAAATGTAATGGACCATCACTAGGACAGTTCAATCCGGAACAGTATGTGAGGTCCTGGCTGGCAAAGGGAAGGAGAAGTGCTGATGAAAGAGCCTGTCCAGCTCCAGCCCCTGATACTGATGTCCCCAAGGCCTTCTGGAGCCTTTTCTAACAATGTGAAGTATATTGCAAAGCAGCTCACCCAGTGAGAAGACTTTTGGCATAATGTGCCGATTTGTACAGATCCTGGAGATAGAAGGACTTCAGACCAACCAGGGAGTTATCTGATCAGCTTGGTGTTCAATGTAACTCTTTACCATGGCTCAGACTTTGTTACTTGCAGTTACAGTTTCTCATTTTAGATTGTGCAAATTTTGCATTTGTTTTTACATGTTCTTTGTTCATGCTCTTTATCATTTTTCTGAGTTGGAAAGTTAGATTGCATCATAGTTTACTTTATACATATTTGTATTCTTCAGTGGTGAAGTATATTGCAAAGCAGCTCAGCCATGTGAGAAGACTTTTGGCACTTTTTCGTTTTTCGTTTTCTGAGTTGGAAAGTTAGATTGCATTCAAAATGTACAGAAATACTTAATTTTGTTAAAGCTTTTTATAAAAAATGCTTCTGACCAGAGCTTTGTGTCCTTGTCATTAATGTTGAACACCACCAGAGGGGCTCTCACCTGAAAGGTCTCTGCTTCATGTGTCTTCAGCAGAAGATCTAGACTTTGATTGCTATATTTTCAGTTAATATTGACCTTACTGAGCTTTAGCCATATCCGCTGCCTATCATAAAAAATGTTAAGTACAGTGAACCTTTCTAAAATATACAGTAGTAAAGAGACAAACCCACCAGCATTATAGTCGCCAAATTCTTGTTTGTGGGCTGTATATATAAAATTGACTTGAAAAAGTTGCTGATTTTAGAGTACTGGCACCTTTTTCATTCCAATTCAAGCACTGTGTAATATATGTTACCAAGTAACCCTGAATACTAGGCCAAAATAATTGCCTCTTTCTAGGAAGGTCCCCTAACACTAATGGACCTCCGCAAATGCCCTTCACATTGTTGAAAAGTAATTTGGGTATACTTTGGCTTTTGATTTGTCTTTTTACAAAATGTGATGGGTTTATTATTGGCTCATGTTTAACCTTTCCACCAAGTATCAAGAAATACCTGTCGTTTTTGTTCCGTTATCCTGACAAACATACGAATCAACAAACCAAACAGAAAACATAACTTTATTGGCGGAGGCGAATTGCAGTATCTCATCCCAAACTAAAAATAAATCATTTGAAAGCTTTCCTTGCAGAACCTCTTTTAGCCAAGTCACATCAAATACAGCTTGAATGCAGACCTCTGCAAAGGCCAAATGTATTATCTAGCAATTCTAACAAAAGTGAAAAATGATTATATCCGACCTTTGATTCTGTAGACAAATAAACCCAAAACAGTAGCTTCTTGGCACAAGTAACAAGCAGTAGCTAGGCAACATGCTTGAGCAGTTTAACCAAAAGGAAGAAGTTCAGCCGCTTGTCCCCTTTGATTCCATGTTTATTCACCCAACAAAACTAACGTGGGTGGGCAATTATCAGATGTTTTACTTGAAACGTACTTTAATGCTAACACTGACAAATTGTTGTTTCAAATATGAATTAATGATGATTCAATAATTTGCTCAAACTAGACGTTTGAGGTATCAGTGTCGTGCTGAGAACAAAAATAGCCCATGACCTCTCCCTGACTTTGTGAGAGATTTAAATGAATACAAAACATGTTACATATTTAAAGCCTTCAATATGGTGTCATCTGGTCCTCCGTGTGTGGGCTCCTCTCCTCTCACAAT